GCATAGATAGATAGATAGATAGATAGATAGATAGATAGATAGATAGATAGATAGATAGATAAATTCACATGAATTTTAGATAGCTAGATGGATATGAATAGGCTGAAATACGTATATATATATATATATATATATATATATATATATATATATATATATATATATATATATATATATAGATCGATAGATAGATAGAAAGAACAGGCATACGAAAAATAGATAGATAGATATAATAGATAGATAGATAGATAGATAGATAGATAGATAGATAGAAGAAGAAAAGAAGAAGAAGAAGAAGAAGAAGAAGAAGAAGAAGAAAGACGCAAGAAGCAGCAAGGATAGAAAGCTATGTTTTTGTATGTTGGAGTGATATTTCTACTCGACTGGCCATTTATTACTATTATAAACTTTTCCTGACATGGTTTACGTTATTTATAACTTTCTGCGGTTTTTTTTTTATTTTTTATTTGAAACGAGAAAGAAGAGTTAAAGATTAGACGCTTTTTAATTTATATTAGACCAAATTTCCCCATAGCCAAAAATATCAAGGAACAAATTTTTACCAAGACGAACTAGTCAACTTTTTGCGTATTCTATTCGCACTTTCCAAGACTGGGAGAAATAATTTTAAGGCAAAACTCATCTGCAAAGCAAATTCAACAGTTGTAGATAAATTTATTATTTGTCTATTACACACAAAACATATATACATGCACATATATATATATATATATATATATATATATATATATATATATATATATATATATATATAGATAGATATATAGATATATATAGACAGGATTTGAATTTTTAAACGTAAATTACTAAATATATATATACTAAATAGAATAGATAAACACACACAACACACACACACACACACATATATATATATATATATATATATATATATATATATATATATATATAAATATATTGATATTAAATATGTAATATATACACACATACACACACATACACACATATTATAAAAAATATATATATATATATATATATATATATATATAATAAATATAAATATATTCTATTTATATTTTGAAATAATTTGTATTGAATACACACACAGATATATATATATATGTTAAACTTTGTGTGTTTTTTTACATATAGGATTATTTTTCATAATTTAAACACACATATATATATATATATATATATAAATGTATATTTATATTTATTTATAATATATATATATATATGCATTAATATATATATTTTGTTTAAGTTATAAAATATTATATATATATATACACAACATGGGATAATATATATATGTATGTGTGTGTGTTTTGTTTTATTGATAAATGAAATACATTAAAAATTCCTCACATTAGACACAAACACACACACACACACAGACACACAGACACAGACACACACACACACACACACACACAAATATTCACACACACATATATATATATATATATATATATAGAAAAAATTATCTATCTATCTACATATATATGAATATTTATCGAATTTTTTAAAAATCAGCTGCTTAAAAATATATACAGAGTTGGCAAGACAGTTATTTATTAATAAAAAATCTTTTCCGTTAAAAAGCAGATGGATTGTAGTTCGAACATATTTATAATACAATTTATATTTTTTTGCCATAAAATTTATTGTTTTTAACTAATCTAATATACCAAAACCATTTTTTTGATAAATTTGTGTACTATTGATTAATTACTTTGAATTAATTATTATTCTAAATAACTGTATTTATATGAAAACTATATATATATATATATATATATATATATATATATATATATATATATATATATATATATATATATATATAAAAAAGTTATAGGATTTCCAACGAGAGAAAAAAGTATATTTTTTTTTTTAAAATGAAAACCGTAAACGTTTTTGTTATAATGTGGATTTGTTTTAGTGTATATATTATACTTTATTCTTCATATTTCTGCTAAAGTGTTGAAAATTAACCTTCTTTGGCAAATAAAAGGAATAAATTTTTATAAAGGATACATTTTTCTTTATGGTCGTTTAATGTTTCATTGTTCGTTTTCTGTATTTCGTGAGCCTTGATCTCGTTTCTGGATTGTTAGCAAAAGGGAATTTCCGCATAATACTTTATTCCGCATTATACATTATAATTTCCGCATTATACTTTATTCTTCATATTTCTGCTACACGTGTTTCCGGCCTGGTAACCTTCTTCAGGCAAATAAAAGGAATAAATTTTTATAAAGGATACATTTTCCTTATGGTTTTTTAATGTTTCATTGTTCGTTTTCTGTATTTGTCGTGAGCCTTGATCTCATTTCTGGATTGTTGCCAAAAAGTTAATTTCTGCCTAAGTTTGTAATAAAATCATTAGGTTTTGTCTGAGAGTTGGTGATGGTAGATGTGTTGATGAGAGATGTCTTTCTATCCCTACATTACACTTGAGACTATCAAATCTGTTTACATTTTTGTGTATCGTGTGTGCTAGCGACTTCCCGTTAGCTTGCATATATATATATATATATATATGTATATTGCCTCCCCATATACACATATAAAGATGGGAAGACACATTAACAACCTTCGACTCGAACTGTGATTAAAGAAAAGATACTAAATATTAGAGACGTTTGAAAAGTCACTCATTTTCTTTTTTAATTGCGAGAAACGCCATTCTGGGGAAATACTTAGATTCATTAATTAAGCATACACCCAAATACACATACAAACATTTCTTTCTTTCGTTTATGGATCCGAGGAAGTTTTAAATGATGAAATGCTTTATCGAATCAAAGACGTTTCAAGTTGTCTTTCAATTTGTCTTTGTAGCGTAAGAGAGGACGTGAAACTGAACGCTTGGAGTTTGGTAGTTATCCATACAGCACCTTCTTTGGAAGCTTATGCTCATCCGTTCTCACAACATGACCAGCCCACTTAAGTTGTATCTTGTCTAGAATGGTTTTAATGCTTGTTGGAGAATATGAACCCGTTTATATGTACATATTAAGTTTTTATTCCGTTATCTTTTGTGCTGTTTCATTCTATTCATTCAAAGAGATGCGCTTCGACTAATGGCTAAAAATCAGGCCAATTCAGGCTGGGCCAGTTTCTGTACATTTTGCCTCATGGGAAAAAGCACAAATCCATTTGTCTCTCAGAGCAATGGCTCACACAGAGGAGCAAACTGGCGAACAGTTTAAAATAGCAACACTGAATGCAAAACGGTAGCGAAAACAAAACGAAACAACGCAACGTTCTTTGCTTATCAAAGACAGTGAAATCAGTTGACTGGTATTTTAGTGAAAATAAGGCAACTCTACCATTCTACTATTAAGTCTACCTTTCGTCCATACTAAAAATATGGCTACCATATATGGTCCAGTATATAAAACGAACAGAAAATAGGCCTAGCACTAACCCTGCAATTCTCCGGGAAAGTGACTCGTGATTACTCTTTTTTTTTTCTTTCAGCTCATTATTAATGTTTATTTTCCTAATCCTTCCAACCCCTTGTGTCTTAGTGGCTTTACTGCCTTACTTGTGGAACTCTCTTCCGGCTCTATACTTTCCAGCAATGTCAATCGCTATCTACTGCCTCCATTATTACTCTTTTCTCTTTCTGCTCAACTTTAATGGTTCTGTTCCTAATTCTTCCACACCCTGTAACCCTTTCGGTTTAACTTGCACTACTGCTACGCTTGGGCTGATTCCGATGAGGTTTTCAGATCAAAGTTGAGACGTTTCAAGTTGTCTTTCGATTTGTCTTTGTAGCGTAAGAGATGATGTGCAAATGAATGCTTGGAGTTTAATCGTTGTCCATACAGCACCTTTTTTGGAAGCCTATGCTCATCCGTTCTAATAACATGGCCACCTCACCCAAGTTGTATCTTTGCTAGAATGGTTTCAATTCCTGTGATGTTGTTACATTTCTTCAGTATCGCACTATTCTTGACCCAGTCATCCCATTTTATACCAAATATGGCACGAACACAGCGCATTTAAATGGCGTCAAGTTGATTTATGTGCTTGTGGTATAGGGTCCAAGTTTCAGCAGCATAAAGAAGGACGGAGAGAACCCCTGATCTGTATATGTTGATCTTTACTCTGAGCGACAGGTCTTTGGTGTTCCATAAACTATGTTTATGATTACCAAATGCTGTGCTGGCTTTGGCTATTCTGCATTGGATTTCTCTGTCCATTTTTCCATCAGAGGAGACTGTTGATCCAAGATATGTGAATGCCTCATCAGTTTTTAATGCCGTACCATCAATGTAGGCGGAAGGACTGGTGAGAGATCGATTGCCTGGCACTGGCTGGTACATTGGCTCAGACTTCTTTATATTGATAGTGAGTTCATATGCTTTCGTTGTTTCGGAGAATTTTTCAAGGATAATACAACAGCATCATCTGCAAAGAGAAGATCGCATTATCGAATATATATATATATATATATATATATATATATATATATATATATATATTATTGTTATGGGGTCTTACCTATAATAATAATAATGGACTATACCATACTTAATAAATACTGCGCCTCAGGAGTTCAGCCAAGGACTTCAAGTCGAGTCAGTAGTTCAAGTCGAGTGAAGAGTCGAGTCAGAGGCAGTCCGAAACAGACTCGCGTTCAGACTGCAAGAAAATGGAATAGTGATACGGGTCGAGACTACATTGTTCTCTCTACTAAACCTGATTGTTCATACTAACACTTCTACTTCTCTGTATATAATCCTGTTTGTAATATATCTGTGTTATTCCATACCTGTGTTCGAGTTCTTCTTTATTGGTTCTACCTTGGACTATCACCGTGGTACAAGGAACCGGATCATAACATATATATATATGTAGTGAACAAAACAAGATCTAGATCTAAAATTCAATAGCTAAGCACTGACTCATTGATTTTGTTAGAAATTAAAAAAGACTTTGCTTAACACACACGCAAAAGCGAATCCAAAACAAAACTCGGGAAATTTCACACCTTGATGCGAAATGTTTTTTCGGCCAATAGAAAACTAGAAAACATTTCAAAAACAAAATTCAACTAATTTTCAATTCTCACAAACAAATTCTTTTACGAACCTTTTCTCGAGCCGACGCGAAATTTGCTTATCGTCCAATGGAAAGTTCCGAATCATGACCGGGAGAGAATTCCCAAATGACCTTTTCAAGCCCCACAAACAAAATAAAAGACGGGCAAGTCCGCCTGTCACCAGAGAGAAGGAGACGAGCGTATTAACACGTTCCTTGACAAACATCAAGCGATCATTATTATTATCTCTATCTTTCTCCCTCACCTCTTTTAATCTTGATAAACGAACGGAACATTTTAAGACTGAGCGCTTACTTCAAAGACATTCCTACCCTTCGATGACGGTCATACATACATACATACATCCACATATACCTTCCTGCCTACGTCCACATACACTCATTCTTGAAAGGGCTACTACGAATATTTTGACGACCTTGTATCAACCAAAATACATTAATTTTATTTGTAAAGAACTTAATTGATTTACATGCATATATAAATTTGTTGTTTCACTTTACAATTTGATTTTCTTGTTTTATTCCCCTCTAATGGTGGGCTATCTAACTAACAAGGCCAAATCAAACTAATCTGTTTCAACACATATATAAAAGAAAGAACAGTAAGATATATAATCCGGTGTTCTTATAGATATTTTTATTTTTACAAAATAGTGCTCAATGTAAATTTACAGAGCATTAATATTATAAATTAATTGATTTAAAATAATTTTTTTTGTCTTTAATTTAATTACAAAATTAAATTCGTTTGTTTTAGCTTCCATTTTTGAAACATGGTTAGAACTTTATTAAAAAATATATTTAAATCAATTAATTTAAATATATATATATATATATATATATATTATTTATATATATTTTTTTATGTATATATATATATATTGTATATATATATATATATATATATATATATATATATATATATATATATATATATATATATATATATTTAATATTAAATTATATTTATATGAAACAAATGAATAACAAAAAAATTTAAAAAAAATGAAGTATAGCAATCCATTTTTTTTTAAGAGTTTTTCTCATTTTTTCTTTGATACGATTTACAATGTAACGCTAAAATGCACACTTAATTTGTGTTCGTCAGGTCAGCTGAAGGAATTTTTTAGTTTTGTCGTTTGCAGCAGACAATTTCCGTGGTGGAATCAAAAGTTATGACATTTCTCTGATTTTTTCCAAATAACCTTTTCGCTGTCACATGAAAATTAAGACTGGTAAGAGAGTCATGTCAGTGGGTTTACATCTTTATTAGAAAAAATGGCTGCCGTCGGGTCATAAATTTTAAGAAGGAGACAGCCAAAATATTTTTCTCCATTAAGACTTTATATAAAAAAAAATAAATATTTTTTATATAAATGTTTTTAAAATAATAAATTTTTAAGAATTCGAAACAACGAAAATGTTTATGATGGAAAATATATAAAAATATCATTCATGATTTTAAAATGATATAAAATGTAGATTAATTCACATAATTATTATTATTATTATTATTATTATTTTTTTTTCCTTCAAATTTAATAATTATTCATTTAAAAGAGGTTCATGCTATTTATTTAAAAAAATTTTTTTCATTTCAAAATATTAGTAAACTTCAAAAAATAATTTAAAATTCAAATCTGCAAATTATTCAAGTTTCAATTTTTCATTATATGTTTTAAAATCAATTATGTCTATATATTTGCAAAAAATTTTTGGTTTATTTATTTCATTAATAGTTCTAGAAATAATCTAACAAGTTTTGTAAAAACATCAATCTATTTTTTTTCTATTTCTATTAATCTGTTATTAAAAAAATAAATTTTAGTCTTTCTATCTATTTATCTATCTATCTATCTATCTATATGTCCAATTTCAAATTTGTATCTATGTATGCATTAAAAGAATTTTATTCTATTCTATCTTCTTATCTATCTATCTATTTTAAATTATCTATCTATCTATCTATGTTTTCATCTATCTATCTATCCTTTATCTATTTATCTATCTATTTTTATATTTTTTATCTATCTTTTCTTCTATCTATTATCTATCTAATAATTCATCATCTTTTTTGTAAAATTCTTTCCATTTTATTTAATTTTAGTGTAAAATATAGCAGATTCAAATTAGCATATTGTTTTCTATTTATCTATCTATCTATCTATCGTGTCTATTTAACCTCTTGTATTTTCTTTTTAAAAATTTTATTTTCATCCATCTCATTCTTTCTATCTATTTCATCTATCCTCTATCTATCATAATCTTTTGACAATCAACCACTGTTTATTATCTTCTATCTTTCTAATCTTTTCGGAATAAGATTTCATTTATCTATTAATCTATTCATTCTTTGTTCTTGGAATGCATATCTATTTATTATTAAAAGATCTATCTATCTATCTATCTATCTATCTTTATAAATCTCCAATTTAACTTTTTTTACCCAATCATATTTTTATCTATCTATTTTTATGCATTAATATATATTTTATTCATATTCTGTTTATTTTGTATATGTTCTATCAATTGATCTATCTATCTATTTATCAATATATATATCATCTATCCCATTCATATTAATCATATTTCTAAAGATCTTTTCTTTATCTATCTATTTAATTTCCATCTATTATCCTTCCATCTAACCCTCTTGTTTCTATGTATGCCATCCATGATCGATATTATCTATTATATACAAAAAACATCTAAAAATTTTGAAAATATGCCTTTGTATGTAAAATATATATATTATAAATCTATTTTTTTTTTGTAATACGAAAGTATTATGCATATATATTTGAAAATTGATTGGTCTACAAATATTGCTGTTTCTAAAAAATCTATTATTCTTATTTATTATGATTTATTCATTTATTCATTTTCTATCTATCTATCCATATTGTTCTTATTTGTATTTTAAAGTTCATGCATCTTCATTTATTATTATTAATGGACTAATTCATTTTATATCCCCGAGTGAAGGCTTTTTATCTTTGTATTTTTTAATATTTAATTTTTTTCTAAAATATTCCTATCTTCTATCTATTTCATTATCATCTCCTTTTTTTGTATCTATGGAATTCAAAATTTTATTAATTTATTTTCTATGAATTAAATGAATTTAAAAAATATTTAATTGGATAAAAAAATCTTTGAAAATATCTTCGATCATTAATTTCATTAATCTATATATATATATATTTATATATATCTATATATATATATATAAAATATATATATCTATAATGCATGCATATATATATCTATTTTATTCATTATCTATTCCGTCTGTTCATGAAATAATACGATGCGGTATCTAATTTTCATCACATCTTTTCTTCCCCTCTTATTTCAAACCAAGCACCTTATTCGGTCAGACTTTAAAATAAAATTGAAAAAATGGGAAAATTACAAACGAAAAAGATTTATTCATTTGAAATATTATCTTTATAAAACAAAAATTTTCATAATTGAAGGGTATTTTGGGATTAAATTTGTTGAGGAAATGAGACGTAGCTCGATGTACGAAGATTTTTAAATTGTCTTGTTAAAAACTAGAAATATTTTGCATATTGTTTAGAAAAGAAAATGGCGTATTTCATGTGAAAATAAACGTATTACTATGAATTAAAATTTTCCTAATAAATATTTATTAAAAAATGTGTTTCTGTATTATCATGCAATTTATTTTATGTAAATTCTAAACGATTGTAATAGAAATAAGAAGAACTCAAAAACAAAAATATATATATATATATATATATATATAAATATATATATATATATATATATTTTTATTTAATTTAAAAAAACCTGACAATTGTAATTAAAGGTTATGGTTATGTTTATTTCCTCAGACAGTTTTTTTTTCCTGGTTTTATCAATTTTTTAGAAAAAAGTTTCATTTAAAATTATATATATATATATATATATATATATATATATATATATATATATATATATATACTGATGTATGTATGAAAATTTTATAAATAATAAATTCTGATAAAAACAAAAATGTAAGACACATATATATATATATATATATATATATATATATATATAAAATTTTTTTTGTGTGATATGTGTTTATTTTTTACTTTAAACTCTAGGAAAATGAAAATTCATACAAATATCAGAAATCACATACGAAATGTATATATATATATATATATATATATATATATATATATATATGTATATATATATATATTTTTGCAAAAAACCCCAAAGGGAAAATTTTTTGAAAACACATATTAACCATTAAAATGACATTATCGGAAACATCTCACCATTAGAGAGGCTATGGATATAAAACACATTTATCCTATTGTCAACATTGTATTATATAATAGTGGAAATGAAGTTTATTTGATTTTTTTTTTTTAAAATTTTCAAATGCCCCCGCAAAATCCAGCCGCCATTCAAATGAAGGCCTAGTTATTTTTTGCCATTCTAAAAAAAAAAACAAATATAAATTATTTGAACATTCAAAAAATGAATAAAAATAATATTATTTCCTCCCCAACGTGAAAATGGTTATAGAATGGCGCCATACCAGATGCATCACCATTCTTCAAGGCATGGATGAATGATAGATTTATAGATATCTAAGATAGATTGTGGTGAGAATAATTGTCTAGCATCATTGACTGAATTTCAGGTATACATTGATTTTTCCAAAAACTGTGGATTCTTTCAAGGTTCTGTTTATTAAATCTGGAGACAATGGGATTTTCTGGTAGATTTTCTTTTTTCAGACGAAGAAAAATTCTTTTGAGAAAAACCAGGATCCCTAGATAAACGCATACATATATTTTATTAATTTCTGATGTCGAGCCGAGCGATGAGATAGCTCATGTATTCTGGATGACTACGAAAATATTCTGATATTTTTCTTTGAGTATTCATACAGGTTCACATCCTTTTCAATTGGGAATCCTGCTTTCGACACTTACCAATTCCATCTCAAATTTTTTTGTATCTTTTGGTTTATTATAAAAAAAATAGGTTGTGTGTGTGTGTGTGTGTGTGTGTACGTTTATATATTGGATCAGATTTCCTACATTTTCAACCGATTTCAACAAAACTTCACAGGACTGAATGTAAAATTACCTTTACGGTGGTTCTGACAGCGCCAAAATTTTTTTGAACAATTGTTTTTCACGAAATCAATTTGAAAACATAAAAATACGATTCTGTCGCCAGAATGAAAGGGGACGACTCATATCGAATTATACTTATTATAAAAACCAGGTTGTGTGTGTGTGTTTGTGTGTGTGTGTCGTGTGTTCGTGTGTGACTTCGTTTATCCCGGTCTACCACGGATTTCCTACATTTTCAACCGATTTCAACAATCCTGGTCACGGACAGCACCAGTTGTGACGTCTTTGCCGCGGCGTCAGCTGTTCGCTCCTCGCTGCTCCAAACGTGACGTTCTAACCCTTTTTCGTTAGATTGATACCAGCCTCGTCGTTCCCAACCTGCTTCCAACGCCTGGTTACCAGGGTAACTGCACTGATCTCCAGTCTGCCTACCCACGTTGTGAATTGATCTTTAGACAGACGAGATCAAACAGGGTTGGGGCCGTAATGCAAGCTGAGTCTAACGGGGTGATAACACACAAATATGTATAAAAGAAAATAAAATAAAAACTCACAAAGTCCAAAGTATCAAAGAAAAAAGGTAACAAACTTTTTTATGTCTATTTGTTCGGGTACATAGGACTATGTCTACTTCCCGACCCGTTCTGTGGATTGTGGCACGACGCTTTTTTACTAGGCAACTTTAAGGCTTCAAGTTGTCTGCTCTCTAAGAAATTTGTGTTTCGGTGTGTCTTTGGACGAAAGTCGAAAAAAAAAAAATTTCTGTGGTCTGATTCTAAGTCGCTCTTCAAACTACTTGTTCTTGGTTGAAGAAGAGTCCAAAAGTGTGCGTGAAATCTTGGTCAGCTATCTTGACGCGGTTTCAACACTGGGCGCTCATCTCTGCTTGTCGTCCACGTTCAAAACTTCTCGCCAGTCCTCCGCTGCTCAAACTCTCCCGCCGTCCTTGGCTGAAACTCTTTTTTTCTGTCGGTTGGGGTTCCCAGCTTTTTTATTGACGCAGTCAAAACTGGGGGTGGGTCTGTCGGCGCCAGGGGTTTTTCGATAATTCTAAATACGTATCCACCCTTCTTATTTCTGGTTAGGGATTTTCCATTTTCTTAACTTTTTTCTTCGATAATTCTAAAAATATCCTCCCCACTTTCTTTAGGGATTTTGCACTCTTTTCCTTTTTGGGCGTATACCCTCCCCCAATCCCGCTTCTTCGTATCGGCTTTTGAAAACAGCTTCTTTACACTTACACTTCTGACTTGAATGGGTCCTGTCGACCGATTCTCCTCGTGCGTCACGTGACCGCTCTCGGCCAATGAGGTCCTGGTCGGGTATCTTTCCTCCTCCTTCGTGTGTCATGTGATCTTATTTAGCCAATGACGTCTTTAGTCGGGCGTGACAATTCGTGGCTTTGTTTTGGGAAAAAACACCTTGTTTAAAAAAAAAAAATATTAATTTAAATCGCCCTTATCATGAGCGACTGAGATGACACCTTCGGCTTTTTAACACGTGGTATTTGTCAAGCAGTTTATCGCTAATTGATATGATCTAAGAAAGGAATTTCTCAGACCTTTTTGGCGTTTTGGAACGAAATAAAAATATTTCATTTTCCCCCGGCTGAAGGTCTGATAATAAAAATCTTTATTATCTATCTCAAAAAATTTTCCAGCGACATCAAATTTGTGTGGCTTTTTTTTCCTAATTCTGGAGACTGTCTTTTTTTCGTATTAATGGTTTGCCTTCATATCCTTAGATACACTTCCCAATTAGATATTTACTATCATCCCAATGACACACTTTTTTGGGTGACAAGTATTATCAATATTTTTCATTTTCCCTAAACTTTTCCTTCTTCAACCAATTTATAACAACTTCCATATTTAAATTCCATTTTCCCCTTCATCTCAAAATTAGATGCTTGACCTGGATATTTTTTTCACCTGTTATCTGTCATTGCCGAGCGTGTGTGTGTTCGCCTATGACCTGTTTTTCGTATTATTTTTTTCTTTCTTTCTTCTTCGTTTTCTTTTCTTTCTCCCAGATCGCTTGAACGTAAAAGAAAGAATTATTCTTAAAACCCAAAATATTTTTCGGCCTTAAATAATTATTAAATGGTTGATAAACCGTAAAAGACAAATCATATATCTATGAATATTTCTTTTCAACTCGTCAGGTATGCATGGTGCCACATTTACTATACATGCCCCGGGCAACGCTTTAACATATATATCATTACTATAACTAAATTGTTTGCTTTAGACAGGTAAAATTTTCCTTAACTAATTTAAAAAAAGCCAATTTGTGCCATAAAAAAAAAAAAAAAAAATTCTTAAGAAT